GGCACTCGGAAAGTTTCAGTTCAATCTCTAACTGCGGATAAATATCCATGTTCATTGCACCTAGTTCGTTCGCTTCCGTTTATAGGTTAGGCTATCTAACCTAAAATGTGTGGTTGATTTGAAATAAATGAGACTGAAATTTTGCACGACGACGATCGTCGCTTCCTTGCTCTAGTGGATCACGTGTATATTACTTGGCGCCGAACGGGGTTGTGATCGGCAATGCAAAAACAACATATAGCCCCTGAGCTGTTATTAGCCAGTGCGCATCAAGGCCGGTACGTACTCAGGTGCAGAGACGCAATGTTTGTGGCTATATTTTCTTTAGAAGTCCAATTGCGCATCATTCTACATATGTCCTAAGTGGGCTCTGGCACTAATTGCTGGACTGATGTAGGCGTATCTTATTCAAAAAAAAAGTAATGGGACACGATACAAAACAGATAGGCACGACTTGAAACAGGGATTCCGAACGCAAATCTGTTCTGTTTAGTTAGCTTTCGAGCCATCCTCGATTTTTATCAAACGGACTATTTCCGCGTCGGCCAAACAAAGATAAATGTAAGAATGCCAGATGATCCACCCTTGCAAACTAGAGTAGAATGAAAAACGCAGCGACTGTGACTTGCTTCATGCAATGCTTCCGTGTCAGGGCTTATGTCCGTCGTCCACCCTGACATCATAGATTTGTCTAGGTTGACGTTAGACACTACTGACTTTAGTTTTAGATCTAGGAAAAACTAAAGAAATAACATTTTAAGAGACTACGTTAGTAGTCGCCGTTAGCACAAAAGTACTCCTTCTCTGTTTATGTCGTCCACGTTTTCAATCATCCCCCCTTCTGCTAGAAAGGTCTGGTAGGATCCAAGAAAAGTGTGGCATGTCCTTGTAGGGCCGACGGGTTCAACGACCAACGACCCGTTCATTCTTAATTCCGCCGCCATCGACGAATGGTTGCAGGCATCAACGCCTTAAGATGCCAACAAACTAATGCTAAGAAGAAGAACAGCCGCTGTCACAGAGCAGTCAGCAGGGAACTCATAAGGGCGGAAATAGCTGCGCAGTTCAGCGACTTCGTACCGTGCGCGTCCTTTCTCTGTATGACGTTTGCACTGCTATAGCTAGGACGCTGGGGGCAAGCGTTCGGTGAGCGTCGTGAGCGACACGAGAACGAACAGGATTGCAGCAGGAACGTTATCCAGCCAGGATTCGGCGGCAATGTTTAGGCTGCACGTAGAGAGAAAGAGCTGCTACGCCAATCTCCATGAATATGGCGATGCGACGCTGACTACTGTTGTACCGACATCGACATCGAACTCTGTCAAAAATACTAGAAAGAATCAAAGTTCAGCAATTAAGTTGCGAATAAGATGTACATTGAAAGTTTGTTAATGACGTAAATAAAGTTCGACAACACCGACAAGCATACACTTGCCATCCTCACTACGTTGATTGATAGCGCGGTTTACAATTTACTTGAGGTAAATTTCACGAGTTAATAAGCTTTCGAGAGATCGGAATAGACAGGGCGTGGTTCTGACCGATTCTGTGGGTTTCAAAGCCACGGCGTAGATAACACTGTGCAAGTTCTTAAACATTATGTTCTACTTTAACACGTATATGTAAACAGTATGTTGTCGGGTGATGGACTAAGCAAGCAACAGGTGTATTAAGAGCGCGTAACTCTCCATTTTCTTGTACTCTCTTATTTTAATGATATGCAATAACATCTTGGACATGCCAGTCAGTCGAAGCGCCGATCGTGACTGGCAATCATATGGCTTCTTCTGCATTTCAGTGGCCGCATTACGTTGACGTGCGCGGAGATTACGACGCTACGATTCCGTCTATAACAGAAAACCAAGCAGGTTCTTGTTGCCTATCAAAGGATGAGCTAAAGAAAAGTTTAGAGCAATAAACTCTCTGAAGTTTCGCGACTCGAAGCATTACTTCAGTCCCAGTCGACCGGTACGCGCGTCATAGTTAATGTCAGCTAAAAAGATTATACGTAACCGGCATTTCGTAGCAATGGGTGAGGACGCAGCACCTCAATTATTGAGTTCGTGAAGAACATAAGCAATGTAATATATTGTAGCATACGCTGCCGTGTCCGTGTACGTAATAAAATCTATAACAGTTTTAATTTACTAATCATATATTGGATATTTTGTCTCGTTGATAGCTAGGCGTTGAATGATAATTCAGTGTTTTACTAAATGACCCGGGTAGTATTAAATAGAATCATAGTAGACATACTGTGTTCGCCCGCCTTGAGCCATACACACTCATTAGACTGACCAACAAACCTTGCACATTATTGACACTAAACATGTACGTTAAACAAAATCGGACATCGTCTTACTACACTTCCCCTTCTCTAGTTCCAAATAAGTTCAAACTTATTTTAGATCCAATATCTGAATCTGGCTTGGTTGTAGTTATTAAGTTACTCTACTATACTGTCGTAGATCGTAGTTATATACTATCTTGACGCAATCTGACTACAATGCCATTACTCTGCTTAAATTGTTCAGTTACCCAGCTTCAGATTAATATCCGGACAATCAGAGATAATCAGATATTCCATTATCATGTTCTGCGCATACAATGGCCCAACAGCAGGTCACCTTTTCCTCAGCGTCAACTCACATCGAAATCTAGCTGATACTGTGTTACCACTGATCCATGACAAACTTACAATTAGTCTATTATCTCAGTACCAACTGACGTCAGCTTCTGAAACCGAACGAAAAAAAAAGACCATGTTTTCAAATTGTTTACAACTTCCCTAAGAAAACACTCGATTCTGTGGCAGTTAATGTGACAGATCAGGTTTTTTGTTCGAAAATACACTTGTGTGTGTTTAAGTTTTATATATTGCCAAAACTGTCCGAAGACAAAAAAAGATTTGCATGTTCTTTAGCATAAAGCATTACACAATTTGCTCATCAAGCAAAGTTTACGCAAAAAATCGAACGAAAAATCGTTAAAAATCACCAATTTCGAAATCGTATAGACTTACATGCACAAAAATCTCTTAAAGTAGGCATAAGATACTTATAGCTTAACTTCTGCTTGCGAAAGACGTTTTGTACATCCCATACGCTAAAATAGAGTTGACATCTACATTTGCGAATCTCGTTTGGCCCCCTCCTCTGAGAGGCAAACATTTCCACCGCAGAACCGCCCATTGCAGTCGATACTCTCAACGTTGTCATTGCCGTTCTCGTCGTAGCCATCGCTACTTACTTTGTTACCGCATCCAGCCCCATTTTTGCGAAGACAAAACGTTTCGTCTAGGGACCCTTGGCAGACTATTCGATGCCACTGCTCGTCTGCAGCTATAGACTTTATTTGCTATTTTTTATAACCTAACCAAAATGAAAATTACTGATTCTTCTTATCACGATTACAAGCAGAAAAGGCTTTTTTTTCGTTGGCACGAACTGTAACAGCCAACATGACCATAAAGCACAACTTATTCTACCTGACGATTTTTCATTTTGACTCATTTTCAGCGTCTTTGATAAATACGGTAGTATACTACAAGTCATAACGAATATAGCTCATTAGCTCTCCGCATGTAAGTACGCCCTCGAGTGCTTCCGCCCGCCAAGATATAGAGTGTTATTTATAGCGAATGCTGGATGTACCGTCGTCAGATCGTTGAGTTCCCGTCGAGTTTGTCTGAATGTCTAGCTAATAAAATATGAAGACTCTTTTGCGCACTCGAGAAATCGGAGGAAGATCTCGATTCTTTCAAAGTACGTACGGTAAACAATAGATTTTCCGGTTTGTTGTCGCTGAGGTCCATCGACGTACCCATTGTCCACGGTTCGCTACTGTTGTACATATCTCGAGAATCGGTCCGATAGTTACACTAAAGCATAGGTGCTCAGTGACGAGGTGCTTGGACGAGTCAAAAGCTGAAATTTAGATAAACGTTTCGACTCTTATGCATGATAGTCTCGTTGGGCAGCGCCCAGCACGGAGGAAAGTGTGTTTATCCACGCGCCTTGCTTTCAAATCTGGACCACTTTACATGTCCTTGGGTACAACAAGCACCTACGTTACCACTGTGGCATCACAAGAACAAAAAACAGTACGATCTACTTTAGCTATTCACTGTACAGGACGCTATAATCTATTACAATGTCAAGTTGACACATGTCACCTCACCGCTTGAAGCATTCCCCTGTTATGACTCCCACGATGATTAATACTACTGCCAGCTCACGGCAATTGTTCACATTCTTCCTATCTGAAGCAATTTTCATATCATAAAACATGCTTTGCCCTAATCTCACCTAACGTCTGTGCCGTCAAGGCCGACGTACCGAACATACTGTGTTTCAATGGTACGCTCTGAAAAGATCTAGTGCACCCGATGGCCTTACAAGTGTCATTGTCTCCTGCGGTGTTTATTAATTGTTTTTTTCCTTGCCTCTCGTTCCTTCCTGCACGCACTGCAGCTCCTCTTAGCGTTATCGCTTAAAATGCGCAAATGTCGTTCCACGTAATGTTTTATTGCCGTATCGAAAGTAGTCCATAGCTATACCACGATATTGACGTTGGCATTGCCTCGCAGTCTGCAATATAGCCGCAACGACGGCACCAGTTTTTGGATGACACAGCTAGAGGGCGCTGGCTAGCAACTTTTCCCCCTTTCTTGCTTCCCTCAGCTACTGTGGGCAGTTTTCCGGTTTTTCGTTCGCTCGCTTGCTCAGCTTTGTTCTCCGCGTTCAAATAGGCGGCATCAGCCTGGCGGCGGTCGATACAGCTGCCTGCTTCTTCTGTGCTGCTGTTCTAGCGCCATCGCGGCTCTGGCTGGCTGAAGCCTGCTGGAAGGGCCGGGCCTCTCTCCCTCAGAGGTGGCGGCAGCTGCTAAAGCAGTCGTCGGGGCAGCAGCAGCAGTAGCAGTAGTAGCAGCCGCCGCGGCGGCGGCGGCGGCGGCGGCAGCGGAGACTGAGTGGTGGAGCAGCGGTGGAGGCGCGGGAAAGCGTCATCGTGAGTTTTTGGCGGCGTGCTCTAACAGCGCGGCTGTGCCGTTTCCTCAAATGCTCTCTAGCTGTCAGCGGTGGCCGCGCGCGTTTCGTGTCGGCGCGCATCTCGCTAGCACGGCATCAAGGAAGAACTTTCGAGCAGTAGCGCAAATAGTGTCAGTATCAGTAGCAGTAACTTTTGCTGGCAGAGATATCGAAGGCAAAGAAACAGCCACAGCAGCCGCAGAAAGTGACAGAAAGTTGGCAACTTTGAAAACACCACTGCCAATAGCAATAAAAACGACAACAATAACGGAAGCAACGACGACAACAACAACAACAACAGAACCAGCAATAACAATAGCGATAACAAGACAAAATCATCGATTTCTCGATTTTGTTTAGAAATGCTCAAAATGTAAGATGCACGAGATAGACTACCGCTGTTGGTAACAACATCGATAACAGAACGAACGTGATGATGACGACCTGATGACGCCGCAACGGCTGACAAGTTGCTGCGGGCAAATGGTCTAATTGTGTGTGATGGAACCGATGAACGGTAATCCGCTGCTGTTGCTGTCATCATCATCATCATCTTCGTCGTTGTCGTCGTCGTCGTCGTTGTCGCTGCTGAAAGAGATTGATTAGTAATTGATGCTGGTGATTGATTCGAGTTCGTGCCGGTAGGGAGGGCTGTCCGTGGTGATGGCAAGCGATGACAAGTGTGCAAGCCGCATAAGTGCGCGGCATTTAGCTAAATTCAACTAGTAATAATAAATCGTGATGACTGGTGGTAGATAGTGGCAGACAACTTTCCCACTTCGTCGTTTACCTATATCATCAGACAAAGCGACCTTGCAATAAAGTATAACGACGATTTGTTGCAATCATAAGCTCAAACCATTCATCTTCAGGCAACAAAAACCGAACTATAAGGACGAGAGAGGATTCGTTAGAAGTGAGCAAAACACCAAATAAGTTAAAAGGTCTACAGTGGTGGATACATACCTGTTAGCATCCTACAACTTGATAAAATAGTTCCTGCCTGGCCCGAATTGCCTATCTTGAAAAGGTCACTGCTGTCCTATCGTTAAGCTATTTCATTTCTTAGCGTTCTAGCCGTGTAGATTGCGGTTTTGTTCTTCTATAGTGTGCCGGTGGTGCTTAATGTGTCAAATGTGCCGCCTCTAAGAGCATTTCGGATACGGGCCTTCGCGCTTGGCCCCTGTATGACAAACAAACTCCCAGCCCCCGGATACTAATTTCTAGTTCATTATTGCACTAGCGAATTACCTTCTACAGTACCGACCTCACCTCTGGAACGTCGCAGTCACAGCTTCCTATTGCCAACGTACGGTCTACACTGTGCATCGTTTTATTTAGGCTGTAGACATTGAGCGCGCGTCATAACTGTGAAGGTACACCTAATAAAAGCCATCAACGATAGCGAGAGTTGAAATGCAGTAACATTGTCAAAGGCAGATATCTAGGTAGAGCGTTTTTGTGGATCTATCTCATGTTTGAGTTTCGGCTAGATCATCAGGAACATTACTCATTTTTAAATTAACAACGACAACCGGTGAGTTGGCTCTTGAAGTTGATGATCGATAATCAGCAAACAATTAATTTACATTACGAAGATATTTTATCACTCCGTAATACATTAGGTGGTCCGCACTCAAAAACAGGCGATCAACGTTTGGAGTATTGTTGGTTAAGTTGGCCACCTGTATCAGCGTGGAGCCAAATCTAATTCAATGATCTAGATGTTCAAAGAACTGAAAGTTGAACAAACCCATATTCGATGTTAAGGAAAAACTTATCTTACTTTTAACGCCTACTTCGATTGACACGTTTATGTAGCGAGACAGCGAGAGTACCTGAGCTGATAATGATTTAGCAATGGCCTGTTCTAGTCGAAATGCCTTTGGATATTTCCTTACATAGAGCCATCAACAACGTGTGTAGTCGATGGAACATATTGGCTGCAACGGAACTCCTACCATATCGATTCCATTTTGTTTGCTATCCGCTAAAAGCTTAACGTTGAAGATGTTCAGTCGTGAGCGAGATACACCTGAAGTTGAAAGGTGAAGATCCCTACTCAATGATTCGCCTGAATAATACATATGTTGCAACATTTGTACAGGTGATCCCACAGCACTTTGCACGCTCGTGCTGCGTCAAGCCCCATAGAAACCTACAACCCGAGCTTAGCACGGTTCATCTTGGTCAGTAAACATTTCTCGGACCATCTTTCGTTGCCAGAGATGGCCTACGCAGGGGGCAGCATTCATGTAGGCAATTCATCATGTAGAGGGCAAATCATAACTGCACAGACGGATTAATGCTGGTGACGCATAGGCGGGTCAGGACGATTCATAAGTTCGATGACGATAAGCCGATATTCTGCACTTGAGAAAACGTCAAGTGAGTTCGTCAAGTCGGTACTGAATGTGAAACCGGGCTTTACGTTTATGTAGTGTGTCATTTCAGTGGGTCACGTTTGTAAAGTACGTTCTAGAGATGATGCTGCACTGCCACTCTGGCGTTACCCCATGCTTATCCTTATGCGATAAACCACTGTGGCTCAGTCGCTCAGGCGTCCAAAACTGAGGTGCCTATTGTATAGTAAACAACAACCTCCATCGGCCACGTCATTGAAATGTCACGACGCGACCTCGAAGGAATGTTAAACCTTTATCTAGTTGATGTGCTTTTCTTTTGGGCAACTGTATTGTGGTAAGGGATGTTAGCTTTTGGTGGAGGCAAGCTTTTCAAAATGTTCATTTTTGTCGCTTGAAATCAATGAGCATAGATATACATCTGCGTTATCGGAAATCATGTTGGCATCTGCAAACGCAGTAGCGAATAGCGTCACGCCATGTGGTGAGTCCAACGAAACGGCAGTGCTGCTAACGTACCACGCTAGCCTACCCTGAATGTGCCGTGAGGCCAGCTTTGCCAGGGACCCTAATTGAAAGCTCGAATAACAATAGGCTTAACTGGAGAGCTGAATGCTCTCAAAAAGAAAAAAAGTAACGTTATGTTAATTTACATATAAATATTCGTTATACGAGATAACAACTACCGCGGCGGCATCCTTTTGTACATATATTGCATATAAAATATTTCAAAATTTCAGGTACAGACAATAAATATAGGCCAAGACAAATGTAAGCGATGGTTGCCTGTTTTCATAGGCTACAAGTTGTGAGAGCGTATTCTGCATCGGGCTTGTTAAAGAAACTAGTTAGCACGCTTTAGGCTATGTCTTACCTAATTTCAATTGCAGGAACGGTTTTTTCCACAAAGAGTATTAAACATGATCAGTACAAACGTATTCGCTGCTGAAAGACCTCAGTGGATGAAAGTAGTCAAAGGAAAGGCCAACTATAATACGCATGTACGTAATACACAACATGTAGACAGGCTTAGACACAACTTAAACTTTCGATCTACTAAACTTTTTTCCATCTATTAAGCTGCTTTTCAGTAACGATTACATGTATCTCCCGCTGTCTCTAAAATGTATTCTTTGGTGGTAAATTCCTGTACTTCGGTACGGATCTCGTTATTTGTCACAGTAACAAGATTTTATCGATGAAATCTATATGAAGTTCCCTTTCGATTGTTGTGCGTCATCGATGAGATTAGCTCGGATCTAATGTTTTAATTAATCACAAAACTTTTTACGCCTTTGTGTCGGACTCCAATTAGTTGCGTTGATCATATATATTTAAATGAGCATTTCAGACAAGAAAAAAAGCAATATCTGTACCAATCCACTAGCTACAAGTGAATCCTGAAAATACGGGTTTTGCCCTTCCTGGTACAAACGCCCTGATGTGTCTCCACGCAGCCTTACGCGTATTGTATATCCTATTATTTACGCGCAACTACTTTTAACTAGCTTTAATTAATGAGACATTTATGTTCATAATGACTATTAACTACTTGTTGTTGCCAATTGAGTTACTGAAATAAAGATAGCCACATTGTCCCTCATATAGACAAGAATTTCACAAATATCGGCACACGTATTTTTATGGCTTAGCAGTGAAGCCGTATAAGTTTGTTTTTTACTATCTCCTATGCATTATAGAATGCATAGACTATGACTGCGAGGTCGTATAGTAAACTTTGTGGCGATATGGACTGTGATAAAGGCGAGGTCTCGTTGTGTATGCTCGTTTATATCCATATGTCACTGTTTGTTTACAAACCAGTATACGCCTATCGACTAGAGAATCGCTCTACTGAGAAATCTTGCTAGTTCTTGCGGATGCCTCGCTTTGTCCTACCCCGTACAACAACCTTTAGACATTTTCTAGAAACAGTATGCTTCTCGAAGCCCTAACAGAATAAAGGCCACTGGGTGAGTTCTTTTCTGAAGTCATGGACGGCTATGGATCGGTATGTGTTGATATGGGTAGTGGGTGGTGAGTACCACTCGTTCGCCCGTTCGCTGGCTCTGCCAATACCTATTTTGATGTTCTCTCTACACAACTCTTCCCATAACAAGCAAGACTGCTGAAAAACGTCTCTTATAAGTTTATCATATATATTAGGCAGAAAGACTCTTCCCTCCTTTGTCCTTATACGCTGCGTCTTTCCATGTACATTTGCGAACGGCTGTAGACGAGAGTTCAGCCGGAAGACGAACAACTCTCGACGTCAACGGTACTAGCTATGGTAATACTTGCATGCACCCCACACGATAAAGATGGGGGGCATATGTTTTCTGTGCAGCCTTGCTCTTTAGTTTTCCGCGCCCATCTCGTTCGTGCCACAAGAGTCGTGGGGCGAAAGCGCTTTTTTGCCTCTCTGATAACGTTGAGCATAATTAATAAAACAGCAGTTGACCCCCTCAACGGAGTGGGATTCGGTGCTTGAAAACGTTGATGCGAGTCTACTTGTCTATGCACGTAAACCGTAGCAAGAGAGCATAAAACTTATTGCCCAGCTTCTGCGCCCGTGCAATAACAGTATCAATCTATGGCTTTGCGCGCCAGGACGATGAAACGGCGTCATTTATTTGCATACAACGATTACAACCTGTAAGCCGTCGCTTCCATGTAATCATGAGCAGACGTTTCTTTCAGTTGCTACGTAGTAGAAACACCTGTTTAAACCTTGTAAACTGTAATAGAGTAAAACGAGTGTTACGGCTATGAAACAGGTTGTGGCTAGACTAGTGGTATAACGACTTGTTATTTTACGTTTAGTTGTAACGTAACTATTCTCTCCTATTTATCTATCACTTATTTTCAACTTATATCGTTCTCCTTCCATTGTTGACACATTCAATGCTGAATGTGATAATAGAAATGCCTTGGTAGTTGACTATGATCAGAACATTTAGAATTTCCCAATATTTGTATATACTGTGCTCCTAAAGCAAAACAGAGACGCATTACAGCAGTAAATATGAGTACGGCACATGAGCTTTTGTAGGAATACTTCACGCTCGAATAGTACCAGGGAGCAGCGAGAGCATTCGCTTCTGGACACGAACTGCTTGGCACCATCGCATTACATTTCTATCACGCTAGCCAATCTTAGGGGCAAGTTGTAGTCTAGGTTCGAACCCGAGCAATAGACAGATTTCGTTTCTTGCAGGGGGCTAGCCAGCCAACGGAATGCCTGCCTAACGGCGATACCAGACGTAAAACTTAATAGTACGCAGTACGAAAATATTGGCTGAACTTGTTTTTGTCATACTTTTACTTAGAGGTATGTTTAAAGAATAGCAAAGAAGGTGTTTCTATCACCTCATAATAGCTAGACAACTTAACTGACGTTGGGAATAGTCTCCCGTGGGCTACACACACACAAACATTATAAATAAAAACGATTGTAACAGTATTTACGACTGACACACAACGAATAAAGACTTCTGATTGAGACCTAACACTTTTGCTGTACAATAGCTCAATAAACAGGGTAATGCGTATTAACAGGAAATCGCGCGAGTAATGGTTATAAAAATTAGCCCGACCTATGTTAATTGAACGGGTATGCTGTTGTCAAAAGTAGAAAATTATGTATACGTTCGAGTGATCAACGTCTCGCCTAACAGTACGCTCATTTTATGAGGTCCGAAAGTAATTAGACACGAAAAGAGTAATGTCGAAGTGCATCGACTAAATTGCTAAAGAGGTAGGGTTGAGCAATCTGGTCCGGCTTATGTGAGTCACCCTGAGTCACATAGTTTTCCCTATTCGTATAAGATCACGTTCGCGGGTATCTCTGCACTCGTGTGCCTAAACGTTGAGTGGGTGGTCGGAAAGTCTTCCTTGAAGAACAGAAGTAACAAGACGATTCCTGTTGCTCTTTTTCCAGAAGAGACAAAATGCGGAAGATTTTCCGCGTCGGTACGGATACAGCGGCTATTATAATATCCATAACGAGCGGGTGGCGTGCACCTATAGCTTGCAAACTGAATTTCCTACACTCCCGAGCTCAGTGTCTATAGCGGTCAGTTACCGTTCACCCTATGTCGAGTAACCAGTTTTGGCCATTGACCGTTCTCCCTGTGAAGATAAACATGTCTCTGCTGGCGAAGGCTTTCGCTTT